GCACGTTTGAGCGGTATCTTTTGGGACTGGGCATCCGCCATGCCTTAACGGCACCCTTTCATCCATCCAGCAACGGGCAAGCGGAAAGAATGGTGCGCTCGACAAAAGAGGCACTGGCGCGGCTGGACCGGGGAGACTGGCATGAGCGAGTCGCCGAATACTTGTTCGTGCAACACATCACCCCTCATGCGGCCACAGGGAGGAGTCCTGCTGAACTGCTTATGGGCCGCCGCCTCAGGTCACCGCTCGACCAGCTACACCCAGACTTTGCCGTGGCTGAACCCCCAGGCTGTGCCAACGCACCACGGTCATTTGTCCCAGGAAACCAGGTCTTTGCCCGGAACTATGTGGGGGACATCCCTTGGGTGCCAGCCACAGTAGTGGGAGTCACTGGACCTCGCTCGTACCAGGTGGCACTCGAAGACGGACGCTTGTGGCGACGGCACATAGACCAGCTTAGGCGCAGGGTTGGGGACTTGGACACTACCGAGGTGCCCCCAACTGCGCTTGCGGCTCCAGAAGAGACACGTACAGATGGCGAGGCCCCACCTACACCTCCCTCACAAACTGCCAGCGTGGAGCCGAACCAAGCCGTTTCAGAACCTCCACTTGCGGAGGCTCCACCCACAGCAGCGGATCCAGGGGAGTTGGTTCCAACGCCACCTAGGGTCGCACCACAGCCTCAGCGAGAACTGTGTGGCCCTCCGGACTTGGCTACCAGTCCCCGGCGGTCTGGCAGAGTTTCCAAGCGCCCAACTTATTTAAAGGACTATGTTGTTGGACAGGTATCACTGTTGGTCTAAGTATGGGAAATGTAACCGATATGCTTTTGTGCTTAATGGAACCATTACGCGTAGTGCTGTATATAAGGAAACCATTACGATTGTAACTAACGCCTTATCTCGGTGGGGAGGGGTGTTATGTAGTGTAGTTTCACCCTGGGCCAACAGGGGGATACTGTATATAGTTTTCACTCAGGTCTGTAGATAGTTTTCACTCAGGTCCGCGGCAGTTATTTTAGGCGGGAACTCTGAGCTGTTGTGGTTACAATGTTGACAGCCGGCTGCCTATAAATACAGGCCGGCTGAGCTGTTCGCAGTCAGTTGTATTCCAGCTTACCAGAATAAAGAGCTACTTGAAGAAATCGCTGTGCCGGCTGCTATGTCAACCCACGACTTAACATATCCTAAAAACCATTGCAAACAGTTAAAACCGTAAGTAGGATTGGAATAACACTTGTAGTTTAATGGTGATTTTTGGACATAATGGAGATGTAAAAGATTTGGATTATCATAAAAGATACAGGAGGAAATTGTTAACAATAAGATCCACAAAGGGGAGGAGGAAAGTCCAGGAGATTCTTTGGAATCTTGTTTTTATGTTGGACATGTGATTGTAAAACTTTGATCTGAAAACCAAATAAACAAATTTACACACACACACACACACACACACACACCCCAAAGGAACGCAGGAAACTGCCTTCTACTCAGGCAGACCATCAAGCGCAATATTGTCTACAATGACGGGCAGCTCCAGGATTTCAGCCGGGATCCTCTCCCAGTGTCATCGCGGTCGGCAAGTGAGTAATTCTCCCCCTTATTGGGAGGCTGTTGCAGCGGCTCGCAAGTCAGAAAGGAAAGTGAAAGGTGAAATGGCCGGGCTCCAAAATGGGGAGGGTCGCCGGATTGCCTCCCAACCCCAGTCGGGAGCAGGACTCCTAAGCTTTCTCTCTTGAAGGAGGGATGGATAGGTTAAAGCCGAGGGAGGGAGATGCCAGGACGCCTGGGTTCCCTCCGCCCTCCCCAGCTGTGGGAGGGAAGCAAGGGGGCGGGGCTGCTGTTTGGGTTAAAAGGCAGCGACGCCTGTACCTCCCCTCCGTCTCCACGAGGCTGGGAAACTGCTTGATGCAAGGGGGGCGTTGCAGGGAGGGAGGCGAGGACCCGGACTCCTGGGTTCTCCTCCCACGCCGTGCCCGGAGTGGGGAAAGGGGGGCGTTGCAGGGAGGGAGAGAGGGAGGCGAGGACCCGGACTCCTGGGTTCTCCTCCCACGCTGCGCGCGGGGTGGGGGAAGCATGTACAAAAAGCAAACTGCCCCCCCTCCGCACCTTTCGTCTCCCCAGTCGGAAATTCCTATACACGAGAGGGAGAGCAGAGCCCTGGTGTCGTCGTCGTCCCCCCCACCTACCCAGCCATGCAGCCCCCCGCCCCCCATTCACTCCTGCTGCTGCGCGTTTCCCCCGTCTTTTTTACCTGTTCCAAATGATGATCACGGCGCCTCCTCCGCAGCTGAGAGCTCGAGACTCTTCCGTGGGGAGGAGGGGGGTGTCTCTCGCCGGCAAGAGCAAGCCCACCCTTCTCTCTCCCCCTCCGAGCACCGATCGGACCCCCAACTCTCAGGAAATGAGCGAACAGCACGCGCTGCCGCGAGCCCCTCCCGACGAAGCGCTGCCTGCCCTCCCCTTCCGTCTCTTCACATGGAGACGGGCGCGATATTGGGGCGGGGGGGGTCAGTAGGAAGAGAGTGGGTAGGGTTAACTATTCCTTGCCCGGCCTGATCTGATAAGGGGGCTGGTTTGCCTGCAAAGATCCACCCACCCCCATTGCATTGCATTGCAACCCTGAGCCCTGCAGAGGGTGCAACTGTGTACCTCAGGCTAGGGGTGTTTACTCGGAAGGAGGTTCGAGAGGGCTTTCTCCCAAGTTAAGGGGGCAGACCACTTTGCAGCCAGAGAGAGAGATTACTTGCCAACGATCAGTTGCAACAATCGATTGAACTAAAGGGGAGGGGGAGAATCAGTTGAAAAGTTGAGCTTCAGGAGTGGAACAATTTTATTGGGGGGTGGGTTGGATGAGAAAGAAAGTGACTCGCAAAACAATGTGGCTGATGCCATGTTGCAAGAGACACACTCTCTCAGTAAAGGAAGGCCTTTTCCAAGATGATGCTTTGCTGCCACGTGGGGAAACAAATGAAATGAAAACAAAGTATGCTCTTTCTCTCTTCACTACAATGGCTTATTTGTATGGCAGTGTATGAAGTTTAAATGAATTAAAGGCTGCAATCCTAACATCCACTGGGGAGTAAGCCCCACAATTTCACTGGAACAACTTCTTTTTAAATTAATATTGTATAACTAACAAAAAGAAAGAAACAGCAGCTCCCATTATTAGTGCAATAGCCATTAATACAGCCCATCTCGGTTTAAATATATCAGTAGGCACAGTGCATCTGGGTGTTCTGTTAAGAGATACAAACAAAGTTGGCATTTATAGGAAATGCATTCAAATGTATCAAGGGCAGTGGACTACTGTGCAATAGATGGTGGGTATTTATCCTCCGGGTGGCGCTGTGGGTAAAAGCCTCAGCACCTAGGGCTTGCCGATCGAAAGGTTGGCGGTTCGAATCCCCGCGGCGGGGTGTGCTCCCGTTGTTCGGTCCCAGCGCCTGCCAACCTAGCAGTTCGAAAGCACCCCCGGGTGCAAGTAGATAAATAGGGACCGCTTACTAGCGGGAAGGTAAACGGCGTTTCCGTGTGCGGCTCTGGCTCTCCAGAGCAGCGATGTCACGCTGGCCACGTGACCCGGAAGTGTCTCCGGACAGCGCTGGCCCCTGGCCTCTTGAGTGAGATGGGCGCACAACCCTAGAGTCTGTCAAGACTGGCCCGTGCGGGCAGGGGTACCTTTACCTTTTTATTTATCCTTCCGGGTGATTAAAAGAGCTCACAAAATCCACTTTTGTTGTCCTGCTGTTAGTTCCCGAGCCACAAGGGTATAATTGTAATGGGATTACCATCTGAGTACACTGTTAAAATTGCAGCCTTCCTTATTCTCACATGGCACAACTGAGTCAGACCACATTGGTTCATCTAACTCGTAGAATTGTAGAGTTGGAAGGGACCCCCAAGGGCCATCTAGAGCAACCCCCTGCAATGCAGGAAGCTCAATGTTGTGTACATATGGGGGGTGGGGACAGGACTCCCGTCCTAGGGGCCAAAGCAGGTCTCTCTGTTCGGCCCTTGGAAGTCTTCCTGGGGTAACACCCCTCGCCATTCACTTCCCACATTCTACCGGAGTGCTTTTGACTTGCTAGATTGCGTCCTTGAAGTCCAGTAACACCTCTTGCGTGTCTGGATGGTGTATGGGGAGGAAAGTGTGTGGCTCTGTAGAAACCGCTGGCTGTTGTGCGGCTGGAATGCAGCCTAGGGTACAAAGGGGAGAGTCACATCTGTCGCTCTACCTACTCTGGCCCTGCCCACCACCAGCACCACACACACACACACACACACACACACACACACACACAGCTTGCACAAGGGAAAATGCTGAAAAGAGCTTACCCAGTTTTGGTCTACATTGACTAGCGGCAGCACTTTGGGCAGCGTTTTCTCCAGCACCACCTCGAGATGTTGCCAAGCAAACCTGGAGTCCTCTGCTTGCAAAAGCATGCGCTACCCCCTCCTCACAGCGGTTCCACACCATACATTAAAGCACATGGGTTCCCCCGAAGAATCCTGGGAGTTCTAGCTTCCTCACCACAGAACTACAATTCCCAGCACCCATGACAAACTACAGTTCTTTCCAGGTGCTGGAAATCTTACGTGCTCAGATGTCTGGTGGGTACTGAACTTCTTCCTACCATTAAAGCTGTGTCCTCTCTCTCTCCTCTCCCCAAAGCCGAGGATAGCTCTATGAAAAGAAAAGTCATTTATGAAACAGCCCTGATTAAATGCACCCAAGGCATGTACAAAGCGATCAGGATGCTTGGTGAACTGTGACCGTCTCTATCATTATTAACTTTCAGGAGGAATTTGAAAACATCCCTGTTTACCCAGGCATTTGGTGACTGAATAATTCAATTCCAGATCCTTGGATGGGAGAATGCTTTCAACCGGTGAGGAAGGGCAGGATATCAATTCAATATACGGTATACCATTAATAGTAATGATTCCGAGTTATATCAAAGTATACCTTCTCTCACGCATGAACAGACACACACGGGCTCAGGATGAGGAATCTCCTTTATAGACCAAGAGAATTACAATGTAAAATTGCTTATAAAACAATAGGTAAGAAAAGAAAAGAAACATTAACACATTATTGCTGAAATAAACAATAGCACACTCCCGCTGCTACTAAGGGCTTCGCTGAATGAGTGCCGGCTTAAGGGCCTATGTTGAACATTTAAAAGCTCCCACATGGAAATCATTTCCATGCTTGACATTGTGCAAATACCACGTGAGACATGATGGCCCCACAGTATAACCCTAATGTCTTTTTCAAGGCAAACGCACAAGTGGAGTAACTTACTGGGGCCGGCTGCATGTGAGAAAGTACATGCACATGGGTCTGTTACATGCAGCAGACTACATGCAGGATTTGTGCAATTGTCACGTTTGAAGCGCACTGAATTGATCCAGAAAAGGTATTTCCCATTGAGCCTTGGCCAACCACAAGAGGAAGAAGGCGGGAGACCAACAACAGAGTATGCATTTCCATATGTTCCTGTAGTCCCTTTTTTATCTTTCAAAAAAACCCAACAACTTTATTTTACTGTTCTTTAATGCTATCCCGAAATTTGACAGCTGAGGGATGTGGGGATTATCACCTTGCCTAATGGTAGGCATAAGGGTTTGAGTCCTGTTCTTTTTGGCTCCTGCTCGGAGTCAATTTGGGCTGACCTTGAATTCAGAGTTCCTGGTTACTGAGATCACTTGAAAGCTGCGTCTTGCAGGAACGTGAGGTGCAGATTTGGACTTGAAAAGCTAAACTGGGAGCAAGCAGGTTGTTGGTTTGCAGAAAAGAGCTGTGCTCAGAGGGCTAAAGCATGACAACAGCACAAACGGCCAATAATTTGGGGAGATTGCCCACAGCCCAGGTGGGTAGGGGGTGATGCCAGCAGCTATGATTGGTTGGCATCCTGCCCCGGGGGGGGGGGGAGCCAGCTAGCAGAGAGGGTGGATCTGAAGCATCCACTTGTGTGATTTATGTACACAGTTATATCCATGAGCAATGCTGCCCCATAAAACCCGGAGAGGCATTTGGTTTCGTTGTTCAAACAACCAGCACCCCTCAGTCCTCTCGTTACATGAAGAAGTCACAAGAAGGGCATTTTATCAAAGAGCAAAACTAGCAAGGAGTGGGACTGAAGGACTGAACACATCCAATTTGTGGGAGCCTGTCAAAATCAGCATCCTCTGGCGTTAAAACGTCCCTCCTGATTATCAGCTGCAGTGCCACAGTTATCCAGGAACTATTATATGATGGTATTAAGGAGATACAGTGCTCTTAAGGCACCATATCTCCATCTTAACAGAGTGGTTGGGAAGCGGGGTAGGAGTGGGGAGAGGAGGAAGAACAGAAAGGAGTAGCAAAGCCCAGGCAACCAAAGAGAAAGCTAACAACTTTTGGGGTAAGGTATGGAAATGTGGAAGCTCCTGTACAGACACAGCTTGCTGTTGAACAGCAAACTCTGTAACGAAAAGAAAAAGTGTATATACACCACTAAACCCAAAATGTTGATTGATTCTCTACTATTCCACTAGTTTGGAACCTTTTTTGCCTCCTGATTCCTTCCAATTTTGCATCCGGATCGGGGGGAGGGGCTTCCAATGCCCACCTTTCAACCTACAACACTCAATGCCCTTCTAGCAAAGGCTGGGCTCTATTCAGTCCAAGAAGTATGGGCTCAGACACATCCAGCTCCCTCTTCTCACCTCTGGAGATGAACCTGCCTTCTTCTAGAGGCAGGTATAGAAGCCAAGCTCCTCCATCTCCCTTGCCATGAGTTATTGAGAGTCAGAAGTGATGAGGTCTCTGCCCCCAGATTGTTTCAGTTCTAAGGAATTGAGCTCTACAAACATTAAGGAACAACAATGCAGGGAGTTTTTTCTAAGCATATAGAGTTCCTTTTCCTTTCCCCAAATGCAGCCCCTGCATATCTGGGATTAGGCAAAGGAGCTTTCAAGGCAGAGTGCATAACATCTACATAGCTTTGGCCTCCAGGACTTATTGCAGCAATTAATGGCCTATCCTTCCCTTAATCTGGGCTCCACAGTATCCTGTGTGCCTAGAAAACTATGTGAGAGATGATGCAATTTGCAATTCTGAAGAAGAGCTCAGAAACACCTCCACAATCCTCTCCTTCGAAAAAAATGAAAACAATACAATTATACGGAAGTAAGCAAAGATCCTTATTTGGCTGTATTTGCCAGATGTTTCTTCCCAGTTGTAAAATTTGGATTTTGGGTGGGTTTGGTGGTCCATGCAGCTTGGCTTTTAAACCCACAGATGCCCTCAAGCTCTCTAACCTGGGGTAGAAAAAAACGACCTGGGAATTTGTGGCTTTCCTGATTTATTTATTTTTCCTAAATCAAGCCTTTGTTCCTTTTTCTTTGGGCTAGTGTGCTTATGCCTCCCTTCCTCTCTCACAGTGCCAGAGATCTCTATATGATGCATTGGGTCCACCAGGCCTTTCAGGAAACCTTCCCAGTTCCCCTCTTGTCACCATAATCTCCCCACCCGCCTTTGCTTGAGCTTTGCTCCCCACCAGCACATTTCCTTTTAATACTGCGAATCATGCATGCACACTGTGGGGGGGGGAGGGGCTGTTGAATGTAAACAAACATGGCTTCTGAGGGTATCCAAGGATGGCCGCCATGTTTATTCACCAACAACAGTCTTCTGTTTGCCCAGCGGCTGCACCAGGGGGCAGCAAGCGTAGTGAAATGGTGACAGTGCCCAGGTGGACAAGGTGGCATAAAGGTGGGCTGGCCACCATATTTTAGCATAATATGTTAATATATATCTCCCAGCAAGTCTCCTCCCCCTCCCCTGTCAAAAGAGATGGGGGAGAGCAAAAGCAGGCCAGAGGTTAAGCATCTGAGGGCTGGCTAGACTCCGAATCTTGTGCCTCACTGCGCATGCGCTTCAATGGCGGAGCCTCGGGTGGCTGTTCTGCCTCAGGCGTTGGTACTTCGAAGGCCTCTTTCGCGGGCTTCGCGGGGCTTGCTGCGTCCTGTGCCGGGAAGAGAAGGGAAAGGATCATGTCCATGCTATAGCAAAGGGGGAACACCCACTTCTGCCTCTAGCCCTGCCCACCACTCCCATGGGGCCCCCGGAAGACTGCCCAGGAACAAATGCGGCCCTCAATCTGAAAAAAAGTTCCCCATACCTGGCGTAAAGCGCACATGAATGTAAATGTTAGAGGAGCAAGATTAGCTTTTGAGAGTTCTGCTTAAATATCTCACAGCCTTTTAAATGTGTCTGTGGGAAGCAGGGGGCGGGGGCGGTAATTGTTTTGTTGTTTTTGGTTTTATTATTTACTTGTGTTTTACCTTGTATTTTATTCTGTGAACTGCCCTGAGATCTTTCGATGGAGGGTGGTGTTATAAGAATTTTAAGGTCTCAAATATAGAATAAATATTCATAAATATAGAATAAATATTCATGCACACCTATCTAAATATATGAACCATGTGTCTGAAATAGTATGGGAGAGCCAAACTGACTCTCCCAATGACCTCAAATATTCCTCTGCAGTAAGGGAGGCCATTGTCTTTTTGCTTGCAAATCCTGTCTTAAGGGTGTATTTATGTATGAATAGGGTGACCTATTCAGGACCTGTGACCTGGATTCAGGAACTAAAGCATTAACCATCACAAAAGAATGGCCAGGCTGCACAGGTAATGCAATTAGTAACCATTATCAGGTATCCTGGCAGACATGATTTCTGCTGTAGACCGCCTCCTTCTGTGATGTATGATGTCTTGGACTATAGGGCGGGCAATTTCAAAAGTCTATATAAGGGCTTGCGCACCATTGTTCAGGGTTCTCCCCCCTCCTGCATGTAATGAGTGGGGACCCTGTTGCAAAGGTTACTTGAATAAAGATCAGGCTTTGCTTCTCAATATACTCTGGTTGGCCTCTGTTTTCTCCTACTGATGGGGAATCCACTTAAGGACTCTATAGGGGCTCTGGAATACCCCATAAGGGAAAGGGAGCAGTTTTTCTTATAACAGCGGAATATAAATTTAATAAATAAAATAAATTAAATAGGGCGTTACCAAGTAACAACCCCTGTCCAGGAAACATTCTGCCTTGACTAACCCCAAGCCTCACCCTAAAAGGCCACCACACTAAAACAGGTCTATTGTACGGCTTCAGCCACAAAGGAGAAACTTTGTGGAGCTGGTCGGCTGGTCCCACTAAGCTCTAGATGGAACATGCTGCAGCACTGTCCGTTGGCACTTTTCAGGGAGATGCAAGAAGCTGACTGAGTCAGGTCATTGGGTCTATCTAGCCAAATATTGTCTACTTGGAAATGTCACCATTGAACCTGGGAGCTTTGGCATGCAAAGCAGGGCCTCTACCACTGAGCTCCATCCCTTCCAAGGATCAGCACCCTCACCTGGGTCTCTGACGTCTTGGAATCCGGCTCTTCTTTGGTAAGCATGGGAGGTTCATCTGTCCCCTCCAGAAGCAACACTCCAGACTCTGCCACCCAGGAGAGAAATGGAGAGATTAAATAAGTACGGAGTGTAAAACAAAAGGATTTAAAACCTCAGTGTCCTAGAATAGAATAGAATTTATTATTTATACCTCACCCATCTGGCTGGGTTTCCCCAGCCACTCTGGGCGGCTTCCAAAAAAGTATTAAAATACAGTGGTCTAAAACAGTGTTTCCCAACCTTTTTTGGGCAAAGGCACACTTGTTTGATGAAAAAAATCTCGAGGCACACCACCATTACAGCCCCGTGACGTCAGCGCACAGCGTCGCACCGGGAGGGACGCACGAAAGTGTAAGTTTCAATTTTTTTCCCTCCCCTCCTGTGTAAAGGGGAATGCACTCTGCTAAGTAAAGGCACTTGCCACAGCAGCGTCAACGTCACAGCACCCACCGGCACCCAAGAGTGAAGGGGTCTCAGCAGCCCTTTTGCCAGGAAGAGGAGCAAGAACGAGAGGAGGAGGAAGAGGAAGAGAGTCCCCCCCAAAAAAACATTCTCCTTTTGATCTTCCTTATTTGCAATTTCTCATTGCAAAACAGCGGTTGATATAGAGCTGATTTTTTTGTTATTACAGTCCCCACCCCCTCACCTAGAAAAACACCCCCTGTCAATTTTATTATTATCATTATTATTATTATTATTATTATTCCCCGCCACTCTGGGAGGCTGAAGCCCTTTAAGGCTTCCTTCTGTCCACTCTCTGTGAATTACCTGCCCGGAGCGGGTTTCTGGGGGGGGGCGCTGCTGCCGGTGTCCTCCCCGTCGAGTCTCGCCTTGCCCGGCGCATGGCGGCCGCCCTTTCCCACACTCTGCTGGCTGCGCTGCCAAGCCCCGCGGCTCGGCCTGTCAGCGTTACCGGGCTCGGCGGGCGGTAATTCCCGAAGAAAGCCGGCGGCGCTTGAAGAGCTGGCAAGCCCCCATTTGCATGTCTGTTTTCCGCAGCCCTTGGAGAGGATTAAGTTCCCTCCTTCCTGCCGGGGAACCTCCAAGCTTTGGGGGTGGGGGGAGAGGAGGCAGCAAAGCGAGGCAGGAAGGAGAGCGCGGCTTGGCTGGGTGAGCTTTGGCAGGGGCAGGGAATGAGAGCCGCGAGGCGGGCGCTGCGGGCGGAAGCGCTGCCCGCCGAGCTCGCAGGCAGCCAGGCAGGCAGACGGCGAGAGCCCCGCGCTGGGCGGCCTCTCCTCACCGCCGCCGCCCCGCCTCTCGCCGCCCGACTCGCCCGCCTCCCTCCCACGGAGGTAGGCTGGTGTGCCGTGGGAGGGAGGCGGGCGAGTCGGGCGGCGAGCACACGTGGGGCGGCGAGCGAGCTCCCTCCCACATCCCATCGCCGCTCGCTTCGGCCGGCCTACTGGGCTGTCGCAGGCGGAAGGCCTGCGCATGCGCGAGGTTTTCGCGCCTTCCTCCAGTAGGCCGGCCGAAGCGAGCGGCGATGGGATGTGGGAGGGAGCTCGCTCGCCGCCCCGCGTGTGCTCGCCGCCGCCGCCCCGCCTCTTGCCGCCCGACTCGCCCGCCTCCCTCCCACGGAACACAAGGCAACGTTCCGCAGCACACTAGTGTGCCGCGGAACACCGGTTGGGAAACACTGGTCTAAAAAAGAAAAGAAAAGAAAATACAGTGGTCTGTTAAACATTAAAAGCTTCCCTAAACAGGGCTGCCTTCAGATGTCTTCTAAAAGTCTGGTAGTTGTTCTTCTCTTTTGACATCTGGTGGGAGGGCGTTCCACAGGGCGGGTGTCACTACGGAGAAGGCCCTCTGCCTGGTTCCCTGTAACTTGGCTTCTTGCAGTGAGGGAACTGTCAGAAGGCCCTCAGTGCTGGACCTGTGTCCAGGCAGAACGATGGGGGTGGAGATGCTTCTTCAGGTATACTGGGCCAAGGCCATTTAGGGCTTTAAAGGTCAGCACCAACACTTTGAATTGTGCTCAGAAACATACTGGGAGCCAATGTAGGTCTTTCATGACCGGTGTTATGTGGTCTTGGTGGCCACCCCCAGTCACCAGTCTAGTTGCCGAATTCTGGATTAGTTGTAGTTTCCGGGTCACCTTCAAATGTAGCCCCACGTAGAGTGCATTGGAGTAGTCCAAGTGGGAGATAACTAGAGCATGCACCACTCTGGCGAGACAGTCTGTGGGTAGGTAGGGTCTCAGCCTGCGTACCAGATGGAGCTGGTAAACAGCTGCCCTGGACACAGAACCTGTGCCTCCATGGACAGCTGTGAGTCCAAAATGACTCCCAGGCTACACACCTGGTCCTTCAGGGTGACAGTTACATCTGTTGAATGGTCACTTTAAAATGTGAAGGTTCATTATTGCTTCACAAGTTGTGTATGTCTTTAAGGGCCAGGGCAAATAACGAGACCCAGTCTTACAGCTGTGAAACATAGCAGGTGCTGCTGAGTTGTATTAATCAAGCTGTGTCAGTAATTGGGTATAGTATATAAGGAGCAGCACCTATCTCTCTCATTACCCTGGGGGATGGGTTGGTGGTTGGGTCGTGTCTGTTGTTGTTATCTTTAGTGTAAAAGGAGTTTTTGTTTTTGTTATTAAAACCTTTGTTAAACTTATTTTTGAGTTCCTTGTATGCATGGTCTCCCCAGCAAGCTCTCTGCAGCGCTACTAAACTGCAAATAGCCAACAACATCACTTACCTCCTTCCTGCCCCAACAAAGGAGGCTGAGAGTCCTCCGCCTTGAGCTCCCCTAATGGGGTGGGAGTTACAGTCTGGCTGCGGTCAAGGGTGGAGCTGGGGCTGGTGTCCCCGCCTTTCAGCAAGGAGGTCTCCGAAATGGAACTCTGATTGCTGTTCTCGTCTGCGGAAAGCAAAAAGCGGAGCATTAGGAATTGCCTGTGGCTGCTGTTGGTGGGCAGCTTGGTGGTTGGGGGGGAGGATCCAAATGCCTCTTTGATTTCCCCATCCCCATGCATGAATCCACAGGGTGCCTGGTGCCATTTTGAGGCAGGGCTTTCCCCCCAGCTGGAACTTACTGGAACTCCGTTCTGGCACCTTTCAGGTGGGCACCATTGCCATTATAAGAGAATGAGGGAGGCATTCATGGTGAGTTCCGGCACCTCTTTTCCTAGAAAAATAGCACTGATTCTAGGCATAATGTCAGCATTTCCATGTGCTTAAATGACAGAACTGCTCCTCCCTCCAACCACATAGGGCCACTCCAGACTGGTTGGTGGTTTTTAGGGGTGTCTTCTGCAATATGTCACTAGTAACAGGGGAGAGGAGAGTGAGGGGAGAGACTTTGTCAGGCAAGGCCTCCTTCCTTGCCCCATCCTCTAGTCTCTGCTTCTCAATTGGTATTGTATTATTTTATGTACTGTGGCTTGCCGTTGTTTTATTTATTATAGTTAAGAAATTATTTATTGTAACTGTTGAGTGGATTTCTGTTTAACTTTTATATGTTGATATTATTACTTTATACTATTCTAATGATTGTTGAATGTTACTTTTTTGATGTAGGTTGCTTGTTTTAAAGTTTTGTTTTATTATTACGTTTTTGTATTGCGTTAGATTGTTATAAGATGTACATTCTTTGTTTCTTCAGTTTGTAAACCGCCTGGAGTATTGTAAGATAGAAAGACGGTATACAAATTAAAAATGATGAGGGGCGGGGATGACGAACAGTGTATGATTACCACTGTCCACCCATCATTCTGCTTTGTAATTGGTTCTGCTTTGCTTCCCCAATGTTCTCACACTATTGCTTTCTGGAGAGGCACCCCTGCACTTCAGCCCAACAAAAGCCGGACAAAACCTGGAACATTTGTGGCAGAAAAAGGGAAAGGATTTCAGTAGGAAGTTATGGGACCTACACCGATAGCAAACAAAGCAGTATGACCAGCCCAAAACTTTTGCAGGTGCAAAGATTATCGAAAGAGGAATTGTGAATAGCCACCCCAATACCGTCATCGGCTCAATTCAGGGAGGTTCGGCTGCTGCCTTCATTATACAGTGGTACCTCGGGTTACAAACTTAATTCGTTCTGGAGGTCCATTCTTAACCTGAGATACCACTTTAGCTAATGGGGCCTCCCACTGCTGCTTCATTCTAAACAGCTTCATTCTAAACAGTATCTAAGAGCAGGGGTCACCAACCTTTATGGACCAGGGGGGCACATTTTGAATTTTTGAGAGAGCACCAGTCACAAAACGGCTGACATAGACAACACTGAAGTAAACATTGCCCTGGATATCCTTAATTTCCAGAAGCATCAAACAGAATCTCTTCCCAAAGTTAAATTTCAGATCACCTTTGGGGAAAACCTTTGGAGAACCAGTGTGGTGGAAGTGGCCTGGGCAGCCATGTGGCCTTGTAAGTATCCTTTCTCCCCGGCCTGACAAGTGTTTGTCCTTCCCCTCTCCTGCCCCCCCCACCTTCCACAATGTACCATTGAGGTCCAGCATGAGTAGGGCTGGGTTCCTCCGAGGGCTGGGCATGCGGGCTCTTCGCTCTTTGGTCCGCTGCTGCTCGCTGTTGCCTGCCAGCCGCCTTTTCTCCTGTCGAGGAAGGAAAGGGAAGCCTTGAAGAGGATAGGAAACGGAGCTTGAGAGAAATCGACGTTTTAGCATGGCAGGGCCTCTTCTCTGGAAGTCCCTGCCTATTGATATTAGTCAGGCGCTGTGGGGTCTCAGGAAAAGCCACAGAGGCCCGTTTTTGTCCTGTTTTTTGGCTAGCCTGATGCCATTTTGCTTCTGTAAAAAAAACTGCCTGCTTTAGAACAGGCATAGGCCCTCCAGATGTTTTGGGACTACAATTCCCATCATCCCTGACCACTGGTCCTGTTTTTTTTATTATTAAATATTTTATTAAAGTTTTTAGGTTACAATATAATAAACGAACAAAATTATAACGAAACATAGCATACTTTCTTATCTTCTTGTGACCTCCTCACATCTCCCGCCCCTACCTTCCACGTTAAGAAAAAATTTAGTCCAGCAAATTATCACCTTACTTCCATCTTTACTGTCTAATTATCAATTAAATTTCATCAAATGTTTATCCAGAATAAAAGTTGTTTTTTCTTACATTTTAACTTATCTTCCTACTTCGCATCATCTATTTTAATGGTGCCAAATTGTTTATAATCAAGCATCCTGCTTAGCATTCATACAGTTTACAATGTTTTTGCAAGTAAGTCTTAAATTTTTTCCAATCTTCTTCTACCGTCTCCTCTCCCAGATCTCGGATTCTGCCGGTCATCTCGGCCAGTTGCATATAGTCCATCAGTTGCATCTGCCATTCTTCCAGTGTGGGTAGATCTTGAGTTTTCCAGTGCTTCGCGAGAAGTATCCTTGCTGCTGTTGTTGCATGACCACTGGTCCTGTTAACTAGGGATCATGGGAGTTGTAGTCCCAAAAAACATCAGGAGGGCCGAGTTTGCCTATGCCTGCTTTAGAATTTAGGAGGGTGAGCCACAAATATGTGAAGACCAGATAAGGTTGCTAGGCGATTTTCAGGAAAACCTCCCTCTGCCAGGCAACTCTCCCCTTCAAGGTCTCCAGGCAGGGTGTCCTGTTTCGATCAGCGCAAGGAACCTCGAAAGGGGGAAAGGGAGGAGGGATGCCTGTAAAAAGTGTGAACAAAGTCTATTTGGGGCGGCTTCAGCATCACACTGCTGGGTGTGGCTCACCCGCTCTGTTTTACTCAGCTGAATAAAGGCGTGTTTATGGGAATCTCCTCTGTCTATGGCATTTATTGGCTTTTCAGTGACCAAGGCAGCCTGGGCCCGATTAGCGGACCCCAACAGCGCCTTCGTTGTACTGTTTTCAACACCAGTTAAACACTTCTTTGCTTAGGAAGGCCTACCCACTTCTTTCCCAAAAATGGAAAGAAGAAGAAGTCCCAGCAAAGGAAGAATGATACAAAAACTTATGGAGTATGCAGAAATGGCGAAACCGGAAGAATAAGAAATCAAGATAACAAACTTCTTAATAAAAGAATGGAAATGGTTTATTCAATATTTACAGATCAGTTGTAAACAGATAGGAACATTGGCAGGATTACTGTAATAACCTGCAGTTTTGTAAGAGCATATATTTAAAGAAGATGAACAAATGAGCAAATTTAGTTAATTAGGATATGCAGAAGATATTAAAAAAAAATTAAGGAACCGCAGAAAGGGGGGGAGGAAGTCAAGTTTGGAAATGTCAAAATGATTGTAAAATCAGTGAAAAGTATAAAAAAAAGTTGAAATACATTTTTTTTATAAAAAGACATGTAATTTCATTATGTACTGTTGATTTCATCTATCTTTAAATCCCTTTTATTATGTCTACTGTTTTTATTAGTTTTTAATGAAAATTTTATACTTTCCTATGGAAACATCTTTTTAAAAAATTAAGTGTTATATAAACTGAGCTAAATAAATATAGAGATGACACTCTTCCCCTTACCTCATCTCGGGGGTCCACAATAGGTACCCACTTGTAGATCCGAAGAGATGTGTCCCCAACCGTCACCCACCGCTTTTCCCTAGGAAGCAGAGAACAGCAAATGGTGTGAATGTTATTAATTAATTAATATTGTTAATTGTGCAAGTTGCAGCTTCCCATGTGAACCCCACAACCTATTTTACCTCAGGGAAATTCCCAGCGGCACCCACTCATTACAACCTCCTGTTGTGCAGTCATTTACAGAGAACCAATTGACAGGAAGGGGGGCCTAAATATTATATTACACATGCACTTTTATAAGGAAACATTTAATATCCTGCCATTCCACTAAAGAACCTTCGGTGGCTCATAATGGCAAATATATAAAAGCAACAACATTTTTTTTTAAAAAAACCACACCCTAAAAACAGCCATAAAAGAAAAAAATGAGTCTGATGGAAACTGGACCACCTCCAGCAACTAAAGTGGGCCAAATGTTTTCATGAAGAAAAACATTTTAGTTGCTCATCAAAAGACAAGCAGCAAGGTGGATATTTTACTGTACAGTGGTACCTCTGGTTACGAACGCTTCAGGTTACAAGCTCCGCTACCTTGGAAGTAGCTGCTCCTGGTTGCGAACTTTGCCCCAGGATGTGAACGGAAATCGCGCACTGGAGGTGTACTCACACCAGGAGGCCCCATTAGTGAAAGCGCGCCTCAGGATAAGAACGGTATCAGCTTAAGAACGGACCTCCGGAACAAATTAAGTTCATAACCAGAGGTACCACTGTGCAGCCCTCGGAGCCACCACCGAGAAGGCCCCGTCACGCATTCCTGAGCTGGCGTAATGTATCAGCTAACGGACAGAGCTGTGAATCAGGAAGCCTTCAGTTCCAATTCCACCACTTCTATGACTTCACTATGTAGCCTTAGGCCAAGGATAGCCAAGGTGGTGTTGTACCAGGTGTTGTGGACTACAACTCCCATCAGCCCCAGCCAGTATGGCCAATAGTCACAGATGAAGGGAACTGCAGGCCAGCAACATCTGGAGGGCATCAGGTTGGCTAACTCTGCCTCATCCCACCTAACGTGGCTGTGAGGAAGAAATAATAGGAAGAAAGCAGTGATTTTCAAAAGCCCTCCCTGGAAAGGAAGCAAATGTGGTATTTTCTTGGCTGGCAAATCACCCCACACCACCAATATCAATGGATGGAATAATAATAATAATAATAATAATAATAATAATAATAATAATATATTTGTACCCCGTCCATCTGGCTGGGTTTCCCCAGTCACTCTGGGCGGCTTCCAACAAAGATTAAAAATACCTTAAAAATACAGTGGTACCTCAGGTTACATACGCTTCAGGTTACAGACTCCGCTAACCCAGAAATAGTGCTTCAGGTTAAGAACTTTGCTTCAGGATGAGAACAGAAATCATGCTCCGGCGGCGCAGCAGCAGCAGGAGGCCCCATTAGCTAAAGTGGTGTCTCAAGTTAAGAACAGTTTCAGGTTAAGAACGGACCTCCGGAACGAATTAAGTACTTAACCCGAGGTACCACTGTACATAAAAACTTCCATAAACAGGGCTGCCTTCAGATGTCTTCTAAAAGTCAGGTAGTTGTTTATTTCCTTGACATCTGATGGTAGGACTTTCCACAGGGTGGGCACCACTACCGAGAAGGCCCTCTGCCTGGTTCCCTGTAACTTGGCTTCTCACACTGAGGGAACTGCCTAAAAAAATGCAACTTGACAATCCCCATTCCAAAATGCATTTGGCAAACATTCGCAAAAGTGCATGAAACGGATTGTGTGCTTCCCAGTGTAAAACCTTGGGCTGGAATACACAGGAGCACAGGCAGCTACAGCAGGTCAGATCATTGGTGCAACTGGTCCAATATGGCCTACACGGACTGGCAGCAGCTCACACAGGTTTCAGACAAGGGACATTCCCAGCCTCAGGTAGGAACACCAAGGTTTGAAACTGGGGCCTTCTGCTCTGGCACTGAGCTGCAGCCCCTCCCTGCAGCCCAAAACACAGCTGCCAAGCCTGTTGTTGTGCCAGGTGTTGTGCCACATGCACCCCAAAGCCCAATTCGACCCCTCGCCACTTGCACCGCGGCAACCAGCTCACAACCCTTCTAAAAACGGGTGCAGCCATGGATGCCAGGTCCCTCCAAAAGTTCCTCCGGCCCCTACGCCCATCGGCCTCACCATCTGCGGACATGCTCGATGGCTGCCATCACTTTCTTGATGTCATCTTTTGCCCGACTGCGTGTCTCAGCTCGAACCGCCCGTCCAGACATCACCGGGGAGCAACTTTGGAGAGTTGAGCAGAGTGTGGAGGCAGATGCAGAGGAGAAACAGAGAGTGTTAGGGCTGGGATTGCTTTGTTTTGCTTATGTTCTTCTGCTCTCCTTATCCCATTCCTTTCTTCCTTTCTCTTTCTTTTTTCCTTCCTTTCTTTCCCTGTTCCTCTGCCCCTCTCTGACTCCTTTTGCTGACTATCCGAGCACGGAACTAGAAATATTCCCTGTGCATCACTCTGCCATCCGGATATCCAGCCATAGCCTGCCTCTCCATCAGTCAGTCTTCCTCCTCTGTCAGTTTGCGTCAATATTTTGCTGTTTCTCTCCTCTTTCGGTTTCTTGGTTTTAGGTTTTTGGTTTTAATCTGAGCCCTCATCTACTCACAATTCTCCCTTTCGGGTTAGTCTGCCGTTAATCTCTACTTCCTCCTCTTTGTCTTCTTTTTCCTGTCCTCCGTTTGGGGGGGGGGAGAAAAAAGAAAACGGAAAAAAGGCGGCTCACCATCGGAAGAAAATAATATAAATTCTTTGGGTTGTTTTTCTTTTTTCATAGAGATTTGCAGCACAGGGAGCGCCCTCTGGTGACTAGGAGAGCTTGAGAAGAAGAAGAAATTGACAGTCTGAAATAGAGGATTGCATCCTTTTTGATAAATGCAGAGAGGCAGATGATGGAGCAGCCTGCAGGTGGAAAGACAGATTAAGGATAGGCAAAAACACAGCAAGCGATTAATTGTGCACACTTCTCCTTTGAGCTCAGAAGGGATGCTCGGTTGATCATTTATATCAGAACTGCAAGTTTTAAATATCAGGTGGGACCGCAGGAAGGTAACACCTTTTACTAGGACCAGCTAAAATGCAACAAGACAAGCTTTCAAGGGCTGTGTACAGGCTCCAATTTATTCTACATCCATTTAGCACTGCTTTGGGAAGCAGCCTATGCACGACTTAGCTGCAATCTGTATCTATCCTATCCTTTCTTATGAAATGCTGCATTTTGGCACGTATTTCCCAAACCAGATTTGATCCAAATTGAGAAAAAGAACAACCTAGCTGCATATTAAGCTGGCAATGTGCACACAACCACCTTTTCCAGAATTATTCTTCTTCAAGCTGGATGTGAAGCAAAATGAGCAGGGGATACGGAAAGAGAGAAAAGATGTAGCGCAGAAAGAAAAGGTTTCAGCCAGGCTGAAATTCAGTCCTGTGTGTTACTCAGAAGTACATCTTGTTAAACTAAACGAGGTTAAGCGTGTGTAGCGCTACACATTTACTTTGGAGTAAGTCCTACTGAATTTAATGAGACTTACTTCTGAGTAGGTACGCTTAGGATTGCACTGCTAGCTTCTGCTCCTGGGCACATTTTTTCAGTGGTACGCCCCAACTGAATTCATTGTCACTTATTTCTGAATAAATGTGCATACAAATCACAAAGGCAGGTAGATTGCTAAATGCAGAACAGATATTGCATCTTCAAGAGGAGCTGCACCTGTTGCATGCCTGCCTGGCGCATGCCTATTAGAACTACAAAGCCTGTGCCGGAAATTGTGTGGCGAACCAAAACCTATGACAGAAGGGTGGGCTGGCAGCAGTCATTCAGCCGTGAGAGGAATCTAACACTCTGCACATGCTCAGGAGATCTTCCTCCTCAGTGGGGTGGGGCAGGGAGGGAAGAAAGCGGCAAGCAACTGTCAAAAAAGAGCAGCTGTTTTCACAATTATTTTTTTTACAATTAGCATGTGTTTTTCTCCACTGTCTATTTTCTTTTCCCATGCCACCCCCCCCCCACGTTTTTCAAAGCCTATGAGACAGAACCAGTTAATCTCCGAAAGCTGCTTTCTGGGGATTGGACTTGAGAAGCTCAGCCATGTTCCCACACGGCGCTCAGATCCTTGCAGTGAGTCAGAGGCGTTTTTGGGGGTCGCCATTACCTCAGCCCGGTCTTTGCAAGGCCAAGGGGGAGAGGCCCACGTGCTTCGGGGCCCAGTGGTACACTTAGATAATTTTAGGCTGAGGAGGATTTAATGCTCTTAAAGAGGCCCCCTCTTTCAATAGGACCTGCATTCTTTCACTAAGCCCCCCTCCCATGTCTACACTGTGCATTTAAAGCAGCGCCATGCCACTTTAGACCCTCGTGGCTTTGCTCAAAGAAATCCATCGTTTGTCCAGGGTGCTTAGACTTGTGAACAGGCCCCATTCCCCCCTCCACATGGCTACAGTCCCCAGAGTTCCCTGGGTTTGGATTTCATGGCAGCTGTTTTTATTTTATTTGAGGGGGTTTAATTTTAAACATATTCTGTGGTTCCTTGAGCAATTGGAAAAGGTGTGTGTGTATGCATGTATGTATGTATGTATATAGTGCTTTTTCTAAAAAGAATGTTTAGGGATACTCTCATATTGAAATACTGCCTCTCAATGAGGCAAAACTTAGATTCACAAAATGTTTAGGGGTATGCGTACCCCCAGAAAAAAGCACTGTATAGATTTCTATAAGAGCCCTGCAGGCAAGCTTGGCCCCAAGCCACTCTTTGCTGCCTAAGATGACAGACAAGATGTACAAAGGCCAACCGCACCGGCAACCAGCTCTCACTTTGGAATCAATGGGACGGGGTCATCTGAAGGCAGCAGGCTAGGTTGGGGGGTGGGTTATAGGGCAGGCAGTGGTGGTTGGGCCTGTGGGGCAGAAAGCCAGGAGGCCAACAGTAGGTGGAGCCAGAGCCAATGAGAGGCGGAGTCAACTAATTGCAGTTTCCTCCCTCTCTTCCTCCACATTGAGTTGTGCAAGAGCAACACTGAGACTAAGGAGGTGGAAGCTGACAGGCTGTGTCACCCTTTCAACTGATTGTAAGTTTTTTTATTAAAAAAAACACACACACACACACACACACACAAAAAAAATAGGTAGGTCAGTGGGGGCTGCCTGAGGGCAGACTCAGGAGCGGAGGAAGGGGGGTGCGGTGGGTGAGGACCGCCCCAGGTGTCACCACTGAAGGGGGGGTGACAAAATGGCGGGTGGCACTCACTGTGGAGCCTGTAATGCGCCTGAGCCACGCATCTCAGCTGGGAGTGATACAGTGGCTTGGGCACCCACAAGCTCTGTGCTGCCCCAAATGGTCTGCCCACCACCTCCCCCTCAGCTGTAGGGCAGCTGAGTGGGAGGAGGCAGCAAAACTCCTCGGCGGCCCCGCAGAGCGTCCTGCCCCGGCTCACCCCACCCCACGGGTGGCTGGCCCCGCCTCTGGACGCAGAGCATGCGTGCTGCCCCAGGCAGGGCAGTCTCTTATTTGTAGGGTAACTAGCATCCTATAACCAGCATTCTTGAGTCTAATTAATGCATGAAGGGGTTAATGCCATAGAGTAAACTGTCCTGCCAGGCTTATCAGCTATGCCACTTCCCCTCACCTCAGGAGGAAATGGGCAGCCAAGCCTTTTGCTGTACTCAGTCTACATATGAGGGGCAGCCTCCATGCCACAACTGGAATACTGTGTCCAATTTCGGACACCACCATGGAAGAGGGATGTTGACAAACTGTTGAGAGGAGCAGGGTATGTTTTGTCTGGAAAAGAAGTGACAGGGGAGATCTGATAGAAGTCTTCAAATATCTAGACAGCTATCACATGGAAGATGGAACAAGTTTGTTTTCTCCTGCTCCGGAGGGTAGGACTCAAACCAATGGCTTCAAGTTACAAGAAAGGAAGAACTTTCTGACAGTAAGAGCTGTTCGAGAGTCGAACAGACTCATTTGAGAGGTTGTGGATGCTCCTTCCTTGGAGGTTTTTGAACATCTGTCATGTATGATCTAGTTGAGATTCCTGCACTGCAGGGGCTGGACTACATGACCCTTGGGTCTATTCCAACTCTACAATATTATGATTCTATGATGTACTTAATATTAAGGGTGTGTCCTGCAAACCTTCAGCACACAGGCACTCTCAGGGCAGCTTAACCTCTTGTTATCCTCTTAGGATAAAAACCAATATAAATCAAACAATGAAAACCAGTGAAACAGCAAGAAACAACCGATAAATCATACTGAATACATATATATAAAAATAAGGAACAGCTAGTAAAAACTATGACTGGCTTAGAAGCCCTAAAAAGTTCTAAATCCAAATGATGGATTGCACTTTTGTACCGCCCACCAACCTGGGCAGTTCACAAAGTTGTTTTGTAAAAAAAACCACAATCCAGGAATTTAAAAAAAAACCCAAAAAGCTGTAAAAACCTTGGAAGAATTGGGCTGTGATCCTATGGGGCTTACTTCTGTGCAGTCATGTACAGTGGTGCCTCGCAAGACGAAATTAATTCGTTCTGCAAGTTTTTTTGTCTTGCGAATTTTTCGTCTTGCGAAGCACGGTTTCCCATAGGAATGCATGTATTAACGGTTTTAAGAAAAAGGAAACAAACTTGCAAGACATTTTCGTCTTGCGAAGCAAGCCCATAGGGAAATTCGTCTTGCGAAGCAACTCAAAAAACGAAAAACTCTTTCGTCTTGCGAGGCATTCGTCTTGCGAGGCATTTGTCTTGCGAGGTACCACTGTATAGGATTTGCTTTGTAAAAAGCTGCCGAAATCCTCCCTGGGGACAGGAGGGGTGCCACTACCAACAAGGCCCCCTCTTCACCACCATGGAGGTGGTTGTGAAAAGGTACGCTACCCTCAAGCTCTTGGGAAGAAGAGGGAGATGGTTTTTCAAAGTGCAATCAACGAAAATACAGTGGTTCCTCAGGTTACATACGCTTCAGGTTACATACGCTTCAGCTTACACACTCCGCTAACCCAGAAATAGTACCTCGGGTTAAGTACTTTGCTTCAGGATGAAAACAGAAATTGTGCTCCGGCGGCACGGCAGCAGCAGGAGGCTCCATTAGCTAAAGTGGTGCTTCAGGTTAAGAACAGTTTCAGGTTAAGAACGGACCTCCGGAACAAATTAAGTACTTAACCCGAGGTACCACTGTAAATGCACATTCTGTGCAAAGGGACAGTGGAAGGGAACATGAGGATCGTGTTTCTGCACCTTTCCCACTGCGCCCCCCTTGTCTCCTTGAGTTCAGAAAACATTGTCATTTTCTTGGGAAAACGACAGGCGAAACCCCAGCCAGCCATCCTGCTTCCTTAAAGAAAGTAGCCCAACAAGATGGATTATCGTTTGCAACTTGACCACATAATGTTGCAACCCAGCATTATTCTTGGCCTCCCAGAGCCGAAGACAAGGCTCAGTTGCCCTCGCTCTGCAGCTAGGCCTCTCTACTCCCCAAATCCATCCGTGTCATGGATGGGGTGAGGCCCAAGGGACAAAAGAAACCCCTCAAGCTTCTCTGTCTGTCCCGCAGATCTCTCCCGAGGCCACATCTTCCTCCGTGGCCTGGATTCGAATCCCGTGTGTTTTTGCCTAGCTGGAATGTGTCCTTGCATTCAGATGATGATGCCTCCTGCTCACCTGGGAAGAAGGAGTGTGTGTGTAGAAACTGCCCTGCCCTTTTTGTTGGGGATTTTAGGGAAAGACCTGCCAAAAAAGTTGAAAAACATCTTCATGTATGCGACAACGGCCACGAGAGTTTTGGTAGCACAAGGATGGAAGACTGAAGAAACCCCAGCTAAAGAATCATGGCAAGAAAAATTGATGGACTATGCAGAACTGGCAAAACTGACATATAAGCTATGGGAAGAGGATAGCTGTGACTTTAAG